GATTCACACCCAATAAATTTAAAAAAAGAAAAGAAAAAAATCAATTTGTTCCACGAGCAGCAGAACTGTATTCCCTTCATATCATCTCAGTGACTCTACTCCTTCACTGTGTCACTCCACAATTGTATTCAAATTTCTCTCCTCCCACTACTACTGTGTGAAGAACCAGCTTGTGCTGACCTGCTAGATCAGACAGACCTGCTGAGTTTAATGAACCTTTCCCTGCAAAAAGTTAAGAATTTGTGTCTCTTATCCAGCTGCCAATCCTCAAGACTCTTATCAAGTTTTCTTGAAGCCACCCAACACGGCCAAAGTGGACAGGACACGTGAGACTTAAGGGATTGCACTATTTCCTTTGTAAGCTAACCTAAAAATAAAATAACCACTGCTTTGACCATATATTTCCTGTCAGATCTTGCATTTGAAGCCTCAGTTATTATAACTACTCAGGCATAGTATTTATTAATAAAACACCCTTTTTGACTACAAGGCCTTAAAGATGGAGTTTTACCTATATCAAATGTACCGCTTTAATGGTTTCACAGGAAACAAGGCCAGTCTCTGACCTGCTGATGCTGTAACAGCTGAACTGCAGGCAGTGTCCCTCCTGACACTTCATTTAACTACAGAATAGACTACAAACACAGCATCTTTTAAAAGGTTTTGAAATAAAGATCTGTCTTCAGTATAAGCATCTAGTATAACAAAGTAAAATCCCTTGTGAGCTTGTCACATCTTTTCCAGAATAAGATCTCCTGTAGAAGAAAACCAACTCCAAACCAACTCATTCTGCTGTGTTGCATTGCCCCACAAACTCAACTGGGTCACAAGGCAGATACCAGAGAACACACAAACTCATCATCTTCTTTAATCACTTGTCCTCTGTTGTGCAAGCTGCCACTCATGTTCCGTGAGGTCACTGGAAAAGAGATTCATCACATGATTTTGAGTCTAAAAGGAAATGTGCACTGCTAAAGAATCCAAATCTTCACTTTCCTTTGACCCTGAAAACAAAGACTGGATCCCTCTGTATCACTTTGGGATTCCAACAGCATTATAAAAATAGACTTAAGGCTGCACAATACAAGCAAGCACATCTCTGCATTTGAAGTTGAGATGTGCCTTAAGAAAACAGGAAATATATTCAAAGTGATAAAAAGGTTGTCTTTGAAGACTAGTACAAAATAATGTCCAGTTTCACAGGACACTGAAACAGAGTTTGCTTTGGAAGAGCTCTGCTCACAGGGAGAAGTTTTAACAGCAGTTGTGTCGCTGTCCCACCAGCAAAGCCATTAACAAGGTCTTTAGCTGACCACTTGTCTTGGGCTTGTAGAAACCTATGCTTGTAGGACTGACTTCTCTGTACAGCCCAAATTCCAAGTAGGTTCAAAAATCAGAAGAAAAAACAAAGGGGCAATTTGAATGTAAACCTTGTTTCCATAGGAAACCAGGCTAATAAAAATCACCTGAAGATTGAGAAAGCTGCTTAATTGTTGAGAAGTTGAGCAACTCTGGTTTCACAAAAGATTGACTAACCACCTTTCCTAAAGGATCTCATTGTCCCTTTTTCAACCTACTCTTGCACATTACAGATATAAGTGACATTTGAGATGACTGGAGCAGCAAACCATTCACATGATCTACTGGTACAGCAGCTTGGGATCCAACAAAAACCAACTTATTTCTTGATCAGGAAACCGACCATTCAAGAGGTTAAAGCAACATAGGCAGAAGGATTTCACTACTGACACCTGGATTTAAAGGCTCCCTCTCCAAAACCACTAAAGATGTTATCTGAAGCAAGGCAGTGTTAAAGCCAACCTAGTACAAGGCTACTGTAAAGAGGGGAGGAGTTCCATATCTGGTACAACACACATTAATAATTTGATGCTAATGAGCCTTATTCTTAATTATGGTAATTTATTTGGCCACTCAGCAGATAGAGGCAAGTTATCATTAGACTCAGGTGACCTGTTTAAAGAATGCACAAGCCATAGGACACTGCACTGCAGCTGGACAAGGTACTGAGCTTAAAAAGTCACTTCTGAAGGTACATGGGACAGAAACAGCCTCTTCACTAGCAGGAGGAAACATCTGCATTCTCTATGTCATGCTACCATGTCTACAGGCTCCTCAGGAAAAACTGCTGAGCCTTCACCTAATCCACAGGTTCCAAAACATGAGAGCACAAAATTGCCAGAACCCAGCGAGACAAAACAGCTCTGTTCGATCCATCTCTCAGAAACACATCCAAGACACTCAATTCAAGCAGCTTAATCCCAAATTCATTAATCTGCAAGAAAAAGCCTGTTCATACATTGAACACTTACTACTGTGAGTCAGATAGCAAAGGCTAAAGCTTTCCAAATTGCTCCCTCAGAGTTCCCTCCTCCTCCTCCATCAGTGGGCACATGCAACTCGTGCATCACTGTGAACTTTTGCACAGAGAATGATCGATAGTAACCTCTCCATGGGAAGATAACAACCCCTTTCTAAGATCAGCATTACCAAACAGCCTTACTCACACCAAACAGCTTTGCCACGTTGCTTGTTTGCAGATCAGCCTCCAGAGACACTTCTAATCCTTTCCTGATTTCTGGGGAAACAAGGACAGACCCCAAAACCACCATTTTACTGTTCTGAATGACTAATCTGAGCATTTCAGAGAACCCTGAATGCACACTGTGAATCCATGTCCTCTAACCTTTTAAGATCTGTCCATGCAGTTTCTATTATGCACATTCCAGGTGAGTTTTCGTCCAACCAGTACTGCCTGATACCAACATCCCATTAGGCAGAACAGTTTGATATTTACGTATCTCCAGCTGAAAACATGTAAGACTAATTTCATTAAGGAGGCCTGGCTTTTGACAGGGGATTATTGCCACCCAGATCATCTGCTGACTCTATGCCAGGACCAAATTAGTTGTTTAATTGCAACACTGGAGCCAATTAAAGGAGAAGTGATACACCAGACTGAAGTTCGGCTACTCTGTCAAAGTGAAATTACAGGCTGAATAATTACAAAATAGAAACAATACTGCTAAAAAATTGGGTGTACCAGAGTACAAACTCTTCACTCTTGGAAGCCAAGCAAGGAAACAGCCTTCAGAAGCATTGATGAGGCAAGAAACAAAGTAACTTCAACTATACCAATGGAAGAGGCAGACCTAATGTAGCTCTAAAGCCTATACATGTATTAAGATTATTCCTCTTAGCAATTTAATATCAGCCAAAGCATTTGAGTTAATGAAGAAAGGGTTAGAGGTCCAGAAGTTTCTGTAGAAAGTTCACACACTTCTGGAAACAAGTCAATTGGCCCTTGACACATTAACTCTTCAGCTAAAAAGCAGATTGTGCTTGCTATAATCAGAGAGGATCAAGGCTGGGTAATCACGTTAGTGATTTTGTCTTTCTACAGAAATAACTGCCACAAAGATGCTACAATATTTACTTTTATACATTCTTGACCTGGCTGGAATCTCTTGACTGCAACAAATATGCATCTTGTCTAAAATTCTCCACAACACCCAGTGCTAAGATGCTACAGTATAAAAAGGCTGTTGCCAGACAGCAGATCATTAGCCACACACTGCCTTTGTACACATCAGCACTAATGCCTTAGAAACAGCTATTCAGACGTGAAGAGCCAGGACAAAAGAAAGAGAAAAAACATCTATGGCTGCTTCTTTTGAGAAATTCTCCCACCTCAGCCCTGCTTTCACAGAAAGGGCCACTATGAAGAGGCCACGATCTGCAACACATGAACACTTCATAAAGCTGCAACCTTTGGGTCAGAGATGCTGATTTAACCCCATTGTACAGAGGAATTCCTGACGAGGGGGATGCATCTTCCTCCCATGCCTCAAGGCATCAGACTTGGGCCTCCTACCTCCTTGTGTTAGTCCTGTTGTCCCCATCACTATGCTGAGCAAAGAGTCTGCAAAAACCAGTGACACTTTGTGACACCTCTGCTCAGCTGGCAGCAACGCTGGCAGGTAAGATGCACCTGGTCTTAACTAACCAGGATTCCTCCCTGCTGTCCTTCACTGCTGTTTGTACAGGACTAAAATCACACTGCACTGTTCCAAGCCAACCCCCCAGACACACAGGAGAGCTCAGCACACTTTCAAAAGATCCACCCCAGGATGTTTACTTGCTGCACACTCACAGTATCTCACCTCCAGTGATGTTTTGCCACATCTCAAGAGGTGTTGAAAGGATAGACCTTTAAAGACAGGCACACCCACGTATCAAGCACTAATTATCACTGCTCTATTTATTATTCACCCAAAACCTTGCAAGAACTCAAATTCATTCATAACAGTTAAGGAGTTTCCATACATAAAAAAAGGTTAAAAAGGTACTAGTCTACTTCCTAAACCCATCATGACTGTTTTTCAGTAGCCACCAACTCCCTGCAATTTTCTAAAACAGTCCCAATTAAAATTACTGTACTACCATCAGCTTAAAATCCCAGTTCTCCAAGCAGTTTGTGGGATGACTTTCTCTCCAATGTATTTTTTTGCAAGAAGAAATCTAACTTGTCCTAAATTTAAACTTGCTCCAACTCCTGTTTCAGTTAAAAGGAATACTATGAAATAGTGACAATATTCAGAAGCATATCAGTAAGAATTATCTCCTTGAGTCAGTGGCATCAGGGTTTTGGAGCTTATACTCACAGGGCACATTGTGATAAACTACTTTAGCTATTTGCTTAATCTGTGTCCCAAAGAGAAAGGAAACAAGCTGCAGTTTCAATGCTGACCTCCTTATCACCGGGCTGAAATGTGGTACAGCATAAACCAGGAATTACAGACAGTCACAGAGTCCACAGGCAAAACCACTCATTGTGCCACACAACTGTCCCTGCAACCCATGGGACAGGGCATGGCAGCAGTGACCCTTCCACAAAGCCAACTACAAGCCACATAACTTTTAAGGTGACCACAAAACAAATGAATACAAACCTAACTGTTTATTGTTCTGTTTTCTGGCAGCCAAGGTTGACTGGATAGAAGGGAGCTGTCCTGATACCAACAGAACCCCAGAGGAGCTGAGAATCGTTCCTTGTGCCATCCTACCTCCACCTGTCTGTCAGGTATGTTAAACAGCATTTTGTTCAATCTTGAGAAGTCTCATACTTAAAGCTTGTACAGGAAGTGAGATGAAGTCCCAGAAAAAGCATTTACCAGGATTACTCAAAAGTGCTGCCAAGAGGCATTTGCACCATTTACAGCATTAATGCATCTCCTTCTGCTGTGACAATTAATCACTTTTTCAGATCCCTGCAAGCACTGCAGCACAGCTCCCTAGGGAAAGTTCTGCAGGTCAGCACTCCAAACAACCCACACCTGCCGAAGGGGTGCAGCTGGTACACAGGGAGCTCCACCAGAGACAGAAAACACAAAATGAAGGAGCAAAGAGGCCAGAGCCATGAGCTAGAAAGGACACCTTAGAGGAGATCACATGCCAGAGGTGCAGCTAGTCCCAAACCAGTGAGTCTCACCATTGCTTGAGTTTTGAAACGACCTCTCACTCTCAGGTCTCCTCTGTGTTTCTTCATTCTCAGGGGTCTTGCAGGGTGCAGTGGAGCCAGACTGGCGTTTCCTCACACAGTCGTCACCTGCCATGGTTACCCAGCTAGGCCAGAAAAGGAGAGTAGATAATTAATGACAGAACAAACTCATTAACTCTTTACATTGTTCAGTAATAAATTCAAATAGCCTTCTTCACACTAAAGTTATGGTTTCTTCCCTCCATTACGAATTCAGAGCAAGGATAGAGGAAATTCAGCACACGCTTGTGTGAGTCAATGACTGCGGATCACACTTCCTCTCCCTTGCTACAAACAGTAAAGGAACAAAGTAACCAACAAGTTCCCCCATCACTACCAAAACATCTCCCCACAGTTCCCTCTTCTCCCTGCAGACCTTTTAAGTGTTTAAAATAACTTAAGCCTTTGCAAAACCTTTAAAAGACCAAAAAGCAAATCCTTTCTGACAGTCAGCTGGACAGCAAGACTTGCCTTCTGAGAGCTCTGGCAGGTTTGCTTTGCCAGAATCACCAGCAATATTTTGCCTGAGCACAGCACCTACTTGTCAAGTTTTCAGTTGTTATTGCAAGAACAGCTTCCTCAATGGATCCTTGTGTTCCGCTTGGACAGACAACGCAAACCACAGAGAAACAGGAAGAGAATCAGGTTTGAGCTAGGGACAAAGGTCATTGCTGGGGACAGATCTGCCAGCAGGGAACACCTGAAGCACTGCAAGCAGGATGAAAACAAAATTCTCAGTTCACAAGAAGAGCACTACTTTGGCTACCAAGCGACATCCCAGGACACTCCACATGAAAATTCAGCTCAAGAATCTCTTGGAGATGTAGCTACAACGAGGGAAAACGTTCAGATTTTTTTCCAGAAAACCACACAGGCATGTGTGTGACTACATTTCCAAACTCAATGTATTTTTTCACCTTGGCACAAACTCTGCAGCAGATGTGTTTGGCTGCTGGTGAACAGTGTACGTGCACCAGCACAGACGAGCTGTTACAGGCAGGCAAGGAAAACTCATGCACTTGTGAAAAATGAACCGTTTAAGGATGGATTTCCTCAGAATACAGAGGGTGGCACTTCTGCAAAAGGGAAATAAGACTATGATCAGAGGTTTCCAGGACTCAGCTTCCTGTGTTTGTCCCTCTAGTAGAACAGTCTCCCATTCTCCTTGCAGGCCTCACAGCACACAGGGGAGAAACACCACCACCAATCAACAAATCACTAATTCAATCACCATTTCTTGCAGCACTGCCCCTCTCAGCTCAGTCTCAAGAGGTCTCAAGCTGCCCACAAGCTGTAGAGCTGGCTCTGTACAACACCTGAGAGCTCACGTTATCATCATCTACATAAAGCAAAAAGCATTTACATGAAGAACAGAAAGAACTAGACAAGAATATGGTAAATCTTCCTACAGTAACTGTGTTCACCAGCCTCAAAAGGCAGCTGGCAGGTTATACCCACTTCCCACCAGCTCTTTACACAGTTACTGCTGCAATCCCCCTGCTTTTAAACGTTAATCAGTCCCCATCAGGAATACTTGACTCTTTACACTTCCCAGCCTTCCCACAAGGTTCCAGGTACAGACACAGCTGCATCATGTTGGAGCAAAGAATCATTTTCCCCACCTGGGACTTACAACTACGTGGAGATCCTGGGCAGCTAAATATTCCAATCCTTGTGTTCTTACACAACAGAGATGCCCAAACCCCTGTCAAAGGGTAAGAATGGATCACTCTGCTCACACAACAGGATCTGCAGAGCAGTGGAGAGGGAAATCGAGCTGCCTTCCAAATTCATGCACCAACAAGCTACTCCTTGGGCCGCCTGGAGCCTCTCACTGCCTCCTGATCCAAGTTAAGCTCTCCTCGTGAGCCACACCCATCCTTACAGGTGCAGGTTTTCCAGCTCTAACAGGGGACCACAACTTTAATTCTTTTCTCAGCACACTTTTCATCTTCTTCAAGAGATGAGGAAGACACTCCTTCCTTTCCAGTGCAGAATGGTTACAGTATTTCACTGAAAGGTTAACAGAAAGGAGTTAAAAAATAACAGATTTCAGGATACGAGAAGGAAAAATCATGTGAGGGGAAGAAAAAAGTTAAACAACCTAAAGTTATTAATTCAGATAGGCTAAGTGATGACAACAAAACCTTTTTCATACCAAAACAAGAGCTGTGCTAGAGAAAGATCTATGAAAACAGATATTTTCCTAGTCTACTTCCCATATGAATGGAGGTGTAACATTACAGTACCTAAGCAACTATCAGCACATCAGATCCTAAAGAGGGCATCAAACCTTTCCTCTAATCTCTGCTAGAACTGAATCATTCATGACACAATGCCAGGATAACTCCAGATGTTCATCTCCTCAACAAGAAGAAATCTCTCCTCACAATTAGTTAACAGTCACTCCACCCCACTCCGAGCACTTGTAGGACATCCACAACCGCAACTGTAGCTGTAGGTTTCTAGAACTACAAACCCATTAGCAGATTTCCGACCAGGAACGCCCTGATTTTACAGGCACGACTGCGTTACGGTACTCGTAAAGGGCTCACAAACCTTAAGCTTCTCCGTGTTCCCTGTCGAAGCACTGGTAATTAATTATAAGATGCCTTGAGAGAAAAGCAACACCCTGTGGGAAGTTCATCTTTGCATTTCAAAAGGCTCGGTGAGGAACAGCCAAGAATCACGGAATGGTTTGGGCTGGAAGGGACCTCAAAGATCACCTAGTTCCAGCGCCCTGCCTCCAACACTAAACACACTCAGTAACAACCTTATTCCAAAGACCATTCAGACCTACAAAGTTTTCCTTCGGCTCTTGACCCTGGGGTATAACATTGACTCGCAGACGCGGATCCTCGGTACCCGCAGAGCTGCCCTCGAGCCAGGCAGGGACCAGGGCAAAGTTAAGGTCATCTCCCAGGGCAAAGTTAAGGTCATCCCCAGCTCACCCGCAACGCGCAAAACACTCGGCAGGAAAAAAAACACCCTAAACCTGCGGACATCAATGGGATCCGCCTGAAGCGCTGCCCGGGCTCCGAGCCAGCTCCTGTCCCGCGAACTGCCCGCATGCACCCGCCTCCCCCGAGCCCCAGCCCCGCAGAGCTCCGTGAGCCGCCGGGGGCGGGGAGGGACGGCGCGGACCCGGTGCTGGGGTCAGGGCCGCCCTCACCCCGCGGAGCATCACCTCAGGGACGGCGGAGCCAGTGCCGCCTTCTTCTTCTTCTTCTTCTTCTTCTTCTTCTCCTCCTCCTCCTTCTCCTTCTCCTCCGCGTGCGACCGCTTCCCTTTCCCCTGTTCCCCCTTCCCGCCTCCTCCCGCCGGGGCCTCTTCCCGGGGCTCGCGCACGTCACGGCGCAGGGGGCGGGGCTGGCGGCGGCCCCGCCCATTGGCTGAGGAGGTGTCTCCGCGTGGGAGGGGCGGGGCGGGGGGCGCGGCACGTGAGGCGCACGTGGGGGCGCGCGCCCCCCCCCCCTCAGCCCCCCCCACCCCCTCAGGAATCGCCGCCTTCTCCCGGTGATCCTGAGGCGGGGAGTTAATGCGCCAAGAAATGTGGAGACCCATCCGCAAGGGGAAGGCAGCGCCCAAGGTTCGTAAATGCTCGAAAGGAGCAACAAGAGTCAGAGGGTCCGCAAACAGTCAGAAAGTTTTATTGGTAAATTACACACTTGGCGTGGAAATTGGTATGTTGGTCCCTGACCCGCTGTGTAAGCACACGGCAGGGGGTTCTGGATAAAGGGGTAGGGTGAAAGGGAAGAGAGGGAGGAAGAGATTGATTGAAGAGAAAGAAAAAGAGGGAGGAGGGAAAGGAAGGAAGGAAGGAAGGAAAGGAAGGAGAGAAAAAGAGATCACCAGTCCTGGTTCCAATGAGTCAATCCAGCTGACGGGATGTCAGTCCCGGTTCCAGCTGTGGATCAGCTGTGTCAGTCTGGCCGATGGGACCAACCGGGATGTGGGACAGCCGTGCCCACCCAGCCCAATGCTGGGCTCAGTGACCCCCCAGGCAGTGTCTGCCCTTGCCCTCAGGACCTCCTGCTCCCCACACCCTCGGCACAAGGAGAACTTATTTCAAGGCCCTGGGAGGACACTGCAGCCAAGGCCGGGAGGGCCCGGCTGCTTTATCTGTGCTCGTCCTTCGGCGGGAACGCAGGAGTTACTAAACAAGCACTTCCCGCGGCACTCGGGCTCAAAGTGTCCTCCCCAGGGAGGCTCTTCCAAACGGGAGCTAGGGTATGTATTTTTACAGGGAAGTAAAAGTGGAGTGCCCCCCAACTTCAACAGTACCCCCAGTCCCCCAAGAAGGGGAATTTGTGGCAAGGGAGTGCTCCCCATCACAAGGGTTACCCTGGGAGTGGGAGCTGCAGCTCGTGTGTTTGGGGGAGCTGAGCAGGGGCCTGGCTGGACAGTTCTCCCTCCAGTCTCAGACGTGCTCCGGAGGGTCAAAAACTGTGTGAAAGGTTGGGGTTTGGACCTCGCTTTCTCTCTCTCTCCTCAGACAGACACAGGCTTGTGACGGGCAGTGAGTCAGTGAGTCACTGAACACGTCACCA